GAAATTAACATTTTTTAAACTCGAGTTTCTTTCGGAAATTTTAAAAGTATAATGTTTTAAACTAAAAATTTCAAGTATTAATTTTTTTGAAACTAATAAAACTTTAATATCTTGACAACGATTTAAAAAATAGTGATATATTTAATTTTAAAATGTTATATTTTCACAATTAATCATTTATATAAATAACTAATGAACAAATTCTAATTTATTTGTGACTATATATGGCATTATATATTTTTTAAATATTCACTATTAATAAACATAACAAACTAAATGCTTTTGGATATTTTTTCCTTTTAAGTATGATAACAAATCAATTTTGAATCTTTCTAATCATATCCTTAACATATGGTATTGACAAAATTGTAGATATTACCCAATATTGAAAATTTGTTGTAGATTTTTTTATACGGTATTTATATCTTTCATTATACGTTTTTCATCTACTTAATGGCCTATATAAAAAAACCATCATCACAACACTTTTACCCACAAACGTGTTTTGTAATGAAAATAAATCATCCAATGCATATAACAATATAGTTGATAACCAAATCGGTTGTAGTTGTATTTTCATTTTGGTATTTTGTAGTAATTAACGCAATTTCAATATTTCGATGCATACAACCTAAAAACTACTTTCAAATATAAAGAATGAACGTTTACGTAGAGAATTGTTAAATCTAAAAATTCACTACATCCAACACCCAATTTTGAGAAAAATATAGTTGGAAATTTTTATTACTTTTATATTTAAAACTAGCCATAAAATATGCATTATCTAAATAATTCCAAAATTCTTTACATAGATCAAGAATTTTACAAACTTCTACAATAGTAAAGAGATCAATTTTTGAATAATTTTAAAATAATTGAATGATGTTTTTATTAGGGGCAATTGTAAAAATGCCATTTTTAGAGTGTACATTTGCAAGAGTGCCATTTAGGAGGGTCTATTTGCAAAAATGCCATTAATTATGGATTTTTAAAGCCTAAAACTTAAAATTGAAAGTCTTAAAACATGTTTTGACCTCTAAAACCCCTTAAACCCTCAAAACTAAACCATTATACAACATATTTAACTCAAACATAAATGATAGGAGAAATTACAAAATGCCACTTTTATGTGCACATTTGCAAAAATGCCACTTTTATGTGCACATTTGCAAAAATGCCACATTTTTGATATTTTTACGAAAATGCCACTAATTATAGATTTTTAAACCCTATATTTTAAAATTCTAAACACTAAATAAATGTTGAGAAATTTTTAAAAATGTCACTTTTCAAGTGTCACTTTATAAAAATGCCATACTTTTGAAATCTTTACAAAAATACCACTTTTCAAATTTTTTTTTTTTATATTATTTACGTTTGGGTTAATTATGTTCTATTATGGTTTAGTTATAAGTGTTTAAGGGGTTTTAGGGGTCAAAAAAGTTTTTAGGATTTATAATTTTAAGATATATGCTTTATAAATCTATAATTAGTGACATTCTTACTAATGGACACTCCTAAGTGGTATTTTGCAAATATGCACACAAAAAGTGGCATTCTTGCAATTGCCCTAAAAATGTTTTGACCCCTAAAACCCCATAAACTCTTATAAATAAACCTTAATAGAACATTATATTTTAAATATAAATTTTTTTTTATTTCGGAGAAGTTAATGTTATATTTTAAATATTTTACTTTGTTGGATTTGGTAAATCTTGATCAAGAAAAAATTATTGAAAGAATTATGGTTTGAATATTTTGTTAGCATAAAATTATGATAAATTATTGAATATTAGTTAGGAAGTTTCAAATTGTTGATATATTTCGTAATTATAGTATCCAAATATAAATTTATAATTTTYYTWWWWTTWWTTTKRMYTTWAATATYTGTTTTATAAAAAAGCAATTTTTTAATTACCCAACCGCAGGATATAAAATATTTCCCATGATTGTTGTCAACCGCTAACAACTGCTACCGTTACTTAAATTGGTTATTTTTCTTCAAATATATCCACAATATCCGAATTGACCRGACAAAATTGCATAAACTTTAAATCAACTAGAATAGTACCCCCGCCGTGCACGAGATGAAATACACRTA